TCATACTCCAAACAGGATAGACATTTTACTGGGAGCAGATGTCTATGGTCAGATAATTAAAGACGGAGTAAGAAAGGGTCCTTCAGGTTATCCAGTAGCTCAATCTACATCTCTGGGTTGGATCCTTTCAGGGAGGGTCAGCGATTCATCTCAATCCAAGGATAATGTTGTGGTAATGCACACTTTCGTTGAAGAAAATGAGTGGATAAAGGGGTTTTGGGAAATCGAAGCTGATCCAAAACCAATCGAGCGCCTCATGACAGAAGAGGAAATCTTTTGTGAAAAGTTTTTTGCTGAAACTACTAAAAGGGACACAGAAGGGCGTTATATTGTACGTCTTCCATTTAAAAAAGATTTTAATAATAACAATTATATAGATTCCAGAGATATAGCCGAAAAGAGATTAAATTCCTTGCATCGAAAATTAAAAAGAAATGAAGACCTGAAAGAGAAATACACAAATGTAATCAATGAATATATGAAAATGGGTCATATGGAAAAAGTTCCATACAATGAAATAAGAAAAAATAATTCCGTGTACTTACCTCATCATGGTGTAATAAGAAATGACAAAGACACGACGAAGCTCAGAGTCGTTTTTGATGCTTCTTGCAAGGGTCAAACTAGTGTCTCATTAAATGATTATTTGATGGTCGGACCAAGTTTACAACTAGATATAAGACATTTATTAATGAAATGGAGAAGTTATCCTATTTGTCTATCTGCAGATATTATAAAAATGTATCGCCAGGTAAAAATTGCGGAATGTGACGTGGATTTTCAGCGAATCATCTGGAAAGAAAATCTAGAAAATATTGCTGAAGATTATCGGCTATTAAGGGTGACATTCGGTACAGCTTCTGCTCCATACCTGGCAGTTAAAACACTCCAACAATTGGCAATAGATGAAGGAAAAGATTGTCCTGAAATTGTTGAACGAATCCTTAAAGATTTTTACATGGATGATCTACTTACAGGATGTCAATCAGTAGAAGAAGGAGTAACTGTGTTTAACGATATGAACAAACTATTACAAAAGGGTGGATTTGAACTCCAAAAATGGACAACTAATAACGATAAACTTTTGGAAGAAATAAAAAAAATTAGTAAAGTCGAAGATTCAAAGAAAGAATTGCAATTCAAGTTCGATGAAATTGTCAAGTTATTAGGACTTATCTGGAACCGTAAAATGGATATCTTTCAGTATGTAGTAACGCCGTACTTGGAAACTAGACCTGTAACAAAGAGAACAATATTATCTGAAATTTCAAAACTATTTGATCCTCTAGGTTGGGTAGCTCCTACAATTATCATAGCTAAAATATTAATGCAAAAATTGTGGATAGCTGGTACAAATTGGGATGATGAAGTGCCAAAACAATTATGGGACCAATGGTGTACTTACCGACAGGACTTACCTCAACTGTCCAATTTTACTGTACCTCGATGGATTCATATTGAGGTTGGTGATATACTAGAACTTCACGGTTTCAGTGATGCTTCTCAATTTGCATACGCAGCAGTCGTTTACATACGTGTAATTAAAAGTAATGGAAATATTCACGTCTCTCTAGTCACTGCAAAGACGAAGGTGGCACCTATTAAACAGGTTTCCATACCACGGCTGGAACTTTGCGGCGCTGTTCTTTTATCAAGACTGCTTGTAGAAGTTGGAGAAGTTATGAAAGTTGACAAGTCACACATACATGCTTGGACAGACTCATCCATAGTGCTTGCATGGATCAATAGTCATCCAAGGCGTTGGCAAACTTTCGTGGCCAATAGAGTTTCGGAAATATTAACAACATTAGAATCTAACCACTGGCATCATGTGTCATCTAAGAAGAATCCAGCGGATTGTGCATCAAGGTATTTCAAGAGATGAATCAATCTTAAACAGATTTTCATCTTTAACAAAATTAATTAGGGTTATTGCATATTGTCGCCGGTTTTTAAATATAAGAAAAAGGAAAGTTGAAAAAACTTATAATATCAATTTGTCAAGTAAGGAGTTAAATGATTCATTAGATGTATGCATAAAAATGTGTCAAAAAGAAAATTTTAAAGATGAAATACTTAAGTTAAAAAATGATGGTGCAAACTGTAACTTAAGGGGTTGTCTTCGTTCACTTAATCCATTTATTGATGGTAATGGATTATTACGCGTGGGCGGAAGATTGGATCACTCACAGCTCGACGAAATGCAGAAACATCCGATATTAATACCAAGAAGGTCCCCATTAACGGATTTGATTGTGAGAGACGCTCATTTGAAAACTCTTCATGGTGGCCACCAGCTAATGTTGACGTTCTTGAGTTCAAAATATTTGATACTCGGAGTGAAATCAGCGATCCGGTATCATATTATGAAGTGCGTCAAATGTATTAGATATAAAAATAACATTTCGAATCAACTTATGGGTCAATTACCATCTGCTCGAGTCATACCTTCACGTCCATTTAAAAGCAGTGGAGTGGATTATGCAGGACCGATAAATATACGGATGGGCAAAGGTCGAGGTCATCATGCATCAAAGGGTTACATTTGCCTTTTCATATGTATGGTTACTAGAGCAATACATATCGAAGTGGTTACTGATCTAACAACTCAAGGATTTTTGGCTGCATTCAAAAGATTTGTTGGGCGAAGAGGTATTTGTTCAGATATTTGGAGTGATAATGCAACTAATTTTGTGGGAGCTTCGCGTGAACTCCAGAATATGTTTAATTCGGAGTCCTCAACTATGGTTAACGAAATAAGAGATGTACTGGCGAATAATGGTACAACATGGCACTTTATTCCGCCTAATGCACCTCATTTTGGCGGGTTATGGGAAGCCGGAGTAAAGTCAATAAAATATCATTTGAGGAGGGTTATTGGAGAATCTACTTTGACGTATGAAGAATTAACCACAGTTTTAATTCAGATAGAGGCATGTTTAAATTCGAGACCATTATCACGGATAGATAGTGAATTAGATGCTATTGATGTATTAACACCGGGGCATTTCTTAATCGGCGAGCCTCTGGTCACAGTTCCGGATGATAATTATGAATCCTCCAATGTATCTAGTTTGCGTAGGTGGCAATTTACACAAAAAATTATGCAAAGTTTTTGGCGAAGATGGTCACAAGATTATTTGACTAAATTTTTTCATCGATACAAATGGACTTATCAAACCTTGGAACCTAATATAAACGAAGTTGTTTTAGTAAGGGATAAAGATTTACCTCCAAGTAGATGGCTCCTTGGCCGTGTGATTGCTAAACATCCGGGAACCGATAATATCACTCGCGTAGTAACTTTACGAACCCAAAATTCAATTATAAAAAGACCTACATCCAAGCTTTGCATACTTCCAGTGACACAGTAAATAAGTTAAATTTAAATGTATTTATTGTTTGTTTTTAGTTATAACCTTTTTATTTTACCGGCCCTTATGGTGGGCGGTATCTTAAGGACAAAATAAATTTGCCCTTGGTGGGCGGTATGTTCGCGCCAATTTCGCTAGATGGCGCTATTAGTAGAGCGGTAATATGTAAATCGCGATGTTGAGATTTTTTGTGTATTAATGACCTCAGACAGATTTTATTTTTTTTATTATCCAGAATAAAGGGTTTTACAGACGTCATGGTTTTATTGTGTGTGCTGTGAAGACGTCGTAAGCCCCTGGATCAAACACGTTATTAAGTAATTGTTTAGTGCTGCGCAATTTGATCAGCTGTTTCAATACTTAACGAGCGTGCGAATTCGACACGAGTTATTGACCTTTCCCCGTGTTGCAAAGCGGCTTTTTTATTATGTGTTGACTTAAGTTTCTATTCTCCTCTCGAAAGTCTGACTGCACGAACAACGTATAAGATCTTACCAATTGAAAATCTGTACATTTTACTATTGCGAATGTTTGCGTGAAACTGTGGTAGTGCCACGCAATGATGTTCACTGTTGCACGGATGGGCAGGTCCGCCCGGGTAAGTACCACGACCTCACAGAAGACCGGCGTAAAGTGGAAGCGTTACCCTTCTGCGTTTCGTCTGTTGAGTAAGATAGCCGGCGCCCACTTTATTTAAAGCGGACGCTTCTGCAACCCTACGGGTGTTGCAAATGTCAATGGGCGGCGGTTATCACTTAACATCAGGTAAACCGCCAGCCATTTTGCCATTTTGTCACATAAAAAAAACCTATTACTATCAAAGTGTACATATTTCCGCAGTCTTCTATGGCGCCTTCTGTGAGGCCTTGTTCTTAGCAGTCGACACAGCAGAAGCAGAACATCCGTATAAAAATCGTCTTTTAAGAAGTATCGCTTATTCCCAATTTTTTTTCACTAATCGAATAGAAAATGTATAGTGAGTGATATTGAATTTGAAGTGGATTTCAATTAGTCACTATTGACTGCCATTATATCAATTTCTTTAGGATTAATTTTTATTTTTAGTGCTAATATCTACCGTCAAGATTGAACTCAACTACGTGAAACTCACTATGTGAATTTTGTAGAGGAATGAACAAAAAGGCGGTTCGGTATTCGAACCTGCATCCTCCTGATAACGCGTCCATACGGATTACCCTAAACGGCCAATGACCCCACGGTGCGCAATCTCGACATATAATGTTCAAATGTAGCCAACATCTAATGTTACTACACAACAGTATGAAACATCTTGCAAAGAATATTTGACGATACACATTTGAAACGAGAGATGTCGCCTTTGCTTACAAATGATTATTGTTAGTATAAGTTTTCTAGTGATAAGTTTTATCGTAGAAATGAACTAATCCGCTGTCAAATGGCTTTTCAAATGTCATTTGAGTTGCCAAATGGGTGGCTAAACTCTTTGAATTGACCATTCTGATAATTAAGAAGATATTTTGATCAATTCAAAGCGTTCAACCAACGTTTTGGCAACTCAAATGACATTAGACAGCTGATTATTTAATTTCTACGATCTTCAGTGTTTCAGAAACCGGGCGTGAGCATCTGAGAAATATAATGTCACATTTCCCGCCCTTTCCGGCGCCGGCCGCTGTGCCGGCTCAGTGCTAGTGCAACCGTCAACGCGGTCGGACGCTTTAGCGTCGCTGCGCGCGAATCCACACGCGTTCGCGGGTAAACAAAGCGTTGCGAGCGGAGTGCTTTGCGATCTCGCGGCGCGAGACGGCCGCTAATTGTGACGCTGAATGGTGTTGTGATCGAAGCCAGATGGGCCGGCTTCGCTGGTGTGGATTGAGCTAGGCAACTGAGCTACACAACGGTACGGCTGATTGAGTCGCTCGTGAGTGCGGTCGTGTGTATGACGCGCGCACGGCCGATGTAACAACTCGGATGATTGAGCCGCTCGCGAGCTTTTCGTTTGTTGTTGTTTTGGATCGCATTGCATCGCGTTTCTCGGAGATTGAGGTGCGCGTTGGAGACGTTCCAGTTTGTAAGGGTGCTACTTTGGAGCGGTTTACGGTAGCCGTCCTATTTGATTTCTTATTTGCATCGCGTTATATGAAATTTTCGCGAAGCGGCGAAGGGTTCGTACCACCGTTTAGCCCCATATGCGATTGTAGAGTCGTAGCGTTCACAGCGCAAATTGCGTGCGTAATATTGGAGGCATTGATATTATCAATGAGCGAGCGGCCGCGAGTAAATGGAGTCAAGTGAGTGCGAACGCTCGTGACTCGCCGATTTAGACCTTAACGCAAACGTTTAGCGTTTAATATCCCCCGCCGCAGTGGCGCGTCTAGTTGATTCAATGAAGAACTCGTTACGGTATGCGTATTTCGACGAAATGTGGAGTTTTTATCGAATGCAATTAAGCTCTGTTTTTCTTTTGCCATTTGTTATGGTCCGCGCGAAGGACGTTTGGCCTCTGTTAATTGTTTATCGGTGAGGACAGAGTGTCATACTTGACGGTGTCACTTTAATCATTTTTTGAGGAAGTTCATTATTCTCGACTCTACCCTGCGTGTAAAAATCCTACATGTGAAAATGCTTATTTCTTTATGTGTTTCCAAACTTTTCACACAACATAAAATCAAAACTTAAGCATAACATAAACACTTGATGATTTGCAGTTGCGTAACCAACCTATTAAAATAGTGGACTCAGGTCAACACACTGATGAGACGAATCGCGAATGTACAATACTTTTATTTCACTCGGGTATTCTGTGAGGCCCTGGTGCTCCTTACGAGCCTGGCTATTCGTGCAACAAAAGCTACTGTGTGGCCCAACCACAGTCATTACAAAACATCGACTGGAAATGTAATTAATATGGTTAATTATAATCTGTTTGCTTCATGTCTGATGCCCGTCCTAGCTCCATGAGCTTCTTCTAGTTATGAGACCTAAACAAGTGACACATATGAATGAAATAATCTCTGTATGTGATATATTGAGGTTTATACAATATATTGTTGCTTTTTAGGGTTATATATATTGTAATATTTCTCAAAGTTGTTTTTTGTTGGTACGCCATAACTACCTAACATAATTTGTCATCAAATTTAATAATTCAGATACTACTTTTAACCACCAGCTTATGTGTGCCGCTAGTGACAAAATCAAACAAGTAGAATAAAATTAATGTTTTCATAAAAACGTTTTACCTTGAAAATTTATTAGAAAAAATATATAATTTGTCGTATAAATGTAGGATAGATTAACGGTTTTTAAAATAAATATCTTGTGAATAATATACGATAATGCCATGTTTTGACAGTTTGTTTAAATTAAGGGTAGTGAAGTAAACTGAAAAACTTAATAAGATATGTTTTATTGAAAAGTACTTTAAAATATGTAGAAAAAGTGCGAAAAGATTGTCGCCGCTGTGGGAATCGAACCCACGTCTTCGGCATTCGCGGCCTGACGCTCTAGCCATTGAGCTAAACGGCTGATTACCACAACGACGAAAATCTTAACGCATTCTTCCACATTTTTTTCTTAGCATTTGAAGCAATGCTTGGCGCCATCTATTGTTATATCCTTTCCAGCATACAAACAACTTCGAATATCGTTTTACAACGATAATTCGAACGAGAGATGTCGCCATTGCTTTTTAGAAATTTAAATTGTTTATAGTGCTAATCTTTGCACTTAAGATTGAACATTAAAATATGTAGAAAAAGTGCGAAAAGATTGTCGCCGCTGTGGGAATCGAACCCACGTCTTCGGCATTCGCGGCCTGACGCTCTAGCCATTGAGCTAAACGGCTGATTACCACAACGACGAAAATCTTAACGCATTCTTCCACATTTTTTTTCTTAGCATTTGAAGCAATGCTTGGCGCCATCTATTGTTATATCCTTTCCAGCATACAAACAACTTCGAATATCGTTTTACAACGATAATTCGAACGAGAGATGTCGCCATTGCTTTTTAGAAATTTAAATTGTTTATAGTGCTAATCTTTGCACTTAAGATTGAACATTAAAATATGTAGAAAAAGTGCGAAAAGATTGTCGCCGCTGTGGGAATCGAACCCACGTCTTCGGCATTCGCGGCCTGACGCTCTAGCCATTGAGCTAAACGGCTGATTACCACAACGACGAAAATCTTAACGCATTCTTCCACATTTTTTTTCTTAGCATTTGAAGCAATGCTTGGCGCCATCTATTGTTATATCCTTTCCAGCATACAAACAACTTCGAATATCGTTTTACAACGATAATTCGAACGAGAGATGTCGCCATTGCTTTTTAGAAATTTAAATTGTTTATAGTGCTAATCTTTGCACTTAAGATTGAACATTAAAATATGTAGAAAAAGTGCGAAAAGATTGTCGCCGCTGTGGGAATCGAACCCACGTCTTCGGCATTCGCGGCCTGACGCTCTAGCCATTGAGCTAAACGGCTGATTACCACAACGACGAAAATCTTAACGCATTCTTCCACATTTTTTTCTTAGCATTTGAAGCAATGCTTGGCGCCATCTATTGTTATATCCTTTCCAGCATACAAACAACTTCGAATATCGTTTTACAACGATAATTCGAACGAGAGATGTCGCCATTGCTTTTTAGAAATTTAAATTGTTTATAGTGCTAATCTTTGCACTTAAGATTGAACATTAAAATATGTAGAAAAAGTGCGAAAAGATTGTCGCCGCTGTGGGAATCGAACCCACGTCTTCGGCATTCGCGGCCTGACGCTCTAGCCATTGAGCTAAACGGCTGATTACCACAACGACGAAAATCTTAACGCATTCTTCCACATTTTTTTTTTAGCATTTGAAGCAATGCTTGGCGCCATCTATTGTTATATCCTTTCCAGCATACAAACAACTTCGAATATCGTTTTACAACGATAATTCGAACGAGAGATGTCGCCATTGCTTTTTAGAAATTTAAATTGTTTATAGTGCTAATCTTTGCACTTAAGATTGAACATTAAAATATGTAGAAAAAGTGCGAAAAGATTGTCGCCGCTGTGGGAATCGAACCCACGTCTTCGGCATTCGCGGCCTGACGCTCTAGCCATTGAGCTAAACGGCTGATTACCACAACGACGAAAATCTTAACGCATTCTTCCACATTTTTTTCTTAGCATTTGAAGCAATGCTTGGCGCCATCTATTGTTATATCCTTTCCAGCATACAAACAACTTCGAATATCGTTTTACAACGATAATTCGAACGAGAGATGTCGCCATTGCTTTTTAGAAATTTAAATTGTTTATAGTGCTAATCTTTGATTAGCACTATAAACAATTTACTTAAGATTGAACATTAAAATATGTAGAAAATGTGCGAAAAGATTGTCGCCGCTGTGGGAATCGAACCCACGTCTTCGGCATTCGCGGCCTGACGCTCTAGCCACTGAGCTAAACGGCGATTGCCACAACGACGAAAATCTTAACGCATTCCCACATTGTTTTTCTTAGCATTTGAAGCCATGCTTGGCGCCATCTATTGTTATATCCTTTCCACATACAAACAATTAATATCGTTTCACAACGATAATTGAACGAAGATGTCGCCATTGCTTTTTAGAAATAAATGTTTATAGTGCTAATCTTTGCACTTAAGATTGAACATTAAAATTTGTAGAAAAGTGCGAAAAGATTGTCGCCGCTGTGGGAATCGAACCCACGTCTTCGGCATTCGCGGCCTCACGCTTAGCCATGAGCTAAAACGGCTGATACCACAACGACGAAAATCTTAACGCATTCTTCCACATTTTTTTCTTAGCATTTGAAGCAATGCTTGGCGCCATCTATTGTTATATCCTTTCCAGCATACAAAGCGCCAAGCATTGCTTCAAATGCTAAGAAAAAAATGTGGAAGAATGCGTTAAGATTTTCGTCGTTGTGGTAATCAGCCGTTTAGCTCAATGGCTAGAGCGTCAGGCCGCGAATGCCGAAGACGTGGGTTCGATTCCACACAGCGGCGACAATCTTTTCGCACTTTTTCTACATATTTTAATGTTCAATCTTAAGTGCAAAGATTAGCACTATAAACAATTTAAATTTCTAAAAAGCAATGGCGACATCTCTCGTTCGAATTATCGTTGTAAAACGATATTCGAAGTTGTTTGTATGCTGGAAAGGATATAACAATAGATGGCGCCAAGCATTGCTTCAAATGCTAAGAAAAAAATGTGGAAGAATGCGTTAAGATTTTCGTCGTTGTGGTAATCAGCCGTTTAGCTCAATGGCTAGAGCGTCAGGCCGCGAATGCCGAAGACGTGGGTTCGATTCCCACAGCGGCGACAATCTTTTCGCACTTTTTCTACATATTTTAATGTTCAATCTTAAGTGCAAAGATTAGCACTATAAACAATTTAAATTTCTAAAAAGCAATGGCGACATCTCTCGTTCGAATTATCGTTGTAAAACGATATTCGAAGTTGTTTGTATGCTGGAAAGGATATAACAATAGATGGCGCCAAGCATTGCTTCAAATGCTAAGAAAAAAATGTGGAAGAATGCGTTAAGATTTTCGTCGTTGTGGTAATCAGCCGTTTAGCTCAATGGCTAGAGCGTCAGGCCGCGAATGCCGAAGACGTGGGTTCGATTCCCACAGCGGCGACAATCTTTTCGCACTTTTTCTACATATTTTAATGTTCAATCTTAAGTGCAAAGATTAGCACTATAAACAATTTAAATTTCTAAAAAGCAATGGCGACATCTCTCGTTCGAATTATCGTTGTAAAACGATATTCGAAGTTGTTTGTATGCTGGAAAGGATATAACAATAGATGGCGCCAAGCATTGCTTCAAATGCTAAGAAAAAAATGTGGAAGAATGCGTTAAGATTTTCGTCGTTGTGGTAATCAGCCGTTTAGCTCAATGGCTAGAGCGTCAGGCCGCGAATGCCGAAGACGTGGGTTCGATTCCCACAGCGGCGACAATCTTTTCGCACTTTTTCTACATATTTTAATGTTCAATCTTAAGTGCAAAGATTAGCACTATAAACAATTTAAATTTCTAAAAAGCAATGGCGACATCTCTCGTTCGAATTATCGTTGTAAAACGATATTCGAAGTTGTTTGTATGCTGGAAAGGATATAACAATAGATGGCGCCAAGCATTGCTTCAAATGCTAAGAAAAAAATGTGGAAGAATGCGTTAAGATTTTCGTCGTTGTGGTAATCAGCCGTTTAGCTCAATGGCTAGAGCGTCAGGCCGCGAATGCCGAAGACGTGGGTTCGATTCCCACAGCGGCGACAATCTTTTCGCACTTTTTCTACATATTTTAATGTTCAATCTTAAGTGCAAAGATTAGCACTATAAACAATTTAAATTTCTGAAAAGTACTTTTTGCACATTATTATATTACTATTCGGTGACTGATCACGGTAATGTGCAAAAAGTTGGCACATTTCAACTAATTATTAAATACTAGCGACCCCACCCGGGTTTGCGCGGGTGCAACGTGCAAATAAACTTTCCTATTGAATAACCCTTTCTATTGCTGATAACCGAATTAAAATCCGTTACATGGTATAAAAGATCTAAGCGTAAAACAACGCGAGCGGCCTTATTTAACTGGACCAAGCCGCTCTCTCGTTCAGTAATAGAGTCGTGGTAAATGTGCAAAGTAATTAATTAAGCGTCGATAGAGTGACATTGCACTAACGCCCGACAGGTTTCCCAATGTTGTTGGATGATTAATTGTTTACCACAAAAAATAACGGAAAAACTATGTATTACTCGGTTGGTTTTTGTTTGGTTCTTATTGTTTCGTATTTGTGAATGTCCTTTCGTTTATCACTTAGCGGCTAGTGCATGTCTACGATCAACTGAGATGAGATTTTCGGTCATGAACACGCGACAAGCTCGCATGTTTCATTGTAACCCAATGACTGGCTATGTGGGCGGATGTGATCGTTTATTACAAAAACAGCTATTTGGTTTACAAACATTAATTACTCATCGCGTCTACTCCACAATTTTCCTGTTTGGGCAGTTGTTTTTTTTTGTTAAATAATTTTTATTCTTAAAGCTGCTCTCTGCACTTAAGATTAATTTCGAAATGTGTAGATGAATTGTCGCAAAACTTTCCTCCACTGTCCAGGAAACAAACACGGTGTGACCGTGCTTGTTGTAACAAAGTGGGCCCCGGCTACCTCACTAATCAGGCAAAGCGCAGAAGTATAACACTTCCACTTCACGCCGGTCTTCTGTTTGGTCGTGGTACTTACCCGGCCGGCCTGCCGATTCGTGCAACAGCGAAGACTGTTGCGTGGTCCTGCCACAGTTAAAGTTAAATTCGACTCTCGTGTCATAAGTACCATCATCCGCTCGTTTCGAGCCGTGAGCAGGCGCTCCCTGGCCGGTCTCTCCATTCGCTGTGCGTGGCCGGTCTATTTACGAACCGTTTTAATTACTAATTGGGCCTTGGTGTCCATTACAATGCGGGCGGAGGGCCCATAAAGCGTTCACAATGGACCGTAACTGAATTTATTCGTAGTAAAACTATCTCGTCGAGTAATATCATAACAAATTGCGCACTAGATGGCGCCAAGCTAAAAATGCGATACTAAGAACGTAGTGGATGTCGTCTTTCGCACCGTGAGTCCATCGGCCGCCTAACTCAGTTGGTAAGTGATATATGAGCATAATTCATAGTCCCTTAAATGTGGAAAGGAAACGTGATCGTAAATTTGATTTATCTACCGGTTCTAAAGAGGCAAGACATCTTTTTACTGTCTTAAATATTTAGATCGACAAGCTTTAAAATTATTTTCAAACTGTATTTCATATTTTGTGTTAAATGTGTCGTACTAACCGGAATACAATATAGTGCTTAAAAAACATTGTAAAATGACGTTCTTTGTGGCCGTTACATGCGGTGTCCCAAAGCGTATTCTATTTCCCTTGTATTTAAATTTAATTAATTTTTAGTTTGGTTTCAAGTTACAGTACAGTTTTATAATTGGATTTTGTTTTAATGTATGTATTTTCTGTTACTTTGAGTCTATTAATTAATTTGACTTCGGCGTCGTGGGTCGTGGGTACGGTTCCCACATGGAACAACTATTTGTGTGACCCACAGATAGTTTTTTCGCATCTGGGTGTTTTTCCACGTGAAATTTATGTTTGTAATAAGTCCTTACAACACGGGATAGGGTTTTACTAAAGTAAGGGAAATGTTTTTAAAAAGGAAAACCAATGTATCACGTTCTGTATTACTGTAATATTTTACTATTTTGTGATATTGTACAAGCTCAATTAGCGTCGTCGGACGCGGCATTAGGGCCGGCAGCGAACCTCGTGTTACCAGAAAATTACCAAATAAAAGTAAGAGTAAAGTATCAGCCCTACACATGTCCCACTGCCGGGCAAAGGCCCGCCGGCAATGAGCCTCGTGTTATCCACCCGAAAATTACCAAGTAAAAGTAAGAGCTTTCAGCCCTATATATGTCCCACTGCCGGGCAAAGGCCTCCTCTGCACAGAGGTTATCAGGGCACAGTCCACCACGCGGCCCCACTGCGGATTGGCCGACTTCACATATCATCGAAACATGTTTACTTTGTTATTTCGAAAATATGCCCGGTTTTCTCGTTCGTTGCTGCTTGTTGCACGTGATAATTCAACACATAAAATTAAAAATTTCATTGGTGCTGGCACCGGGGATCAAAGTCAGGTTGCCCGAGTATTACCAAATAGTAAAAACTCTTAAAACTCTTCAGCTGTAGTGTTTCTGATATAAAATAATTATTCCACGTGTTCAGGCAACAGGTATGTAACTAAAAATATATATTCTTAATTTTCTTCTTCCAACACTATATCCTCGTTCCCTTGTAACAGGTTTTTATTTACTTTCACCTGTCCAGGTGTCTATAGACCTGCAATTAAAGTTCGAACCACTTGATTTAGCTGAAGAGTTTAAGCTTTGTCGGTCATTTAGGCTCCCTCTAAGGTCTCCAAGCTTAAATTATAATAAATACGGTAATAATTACCGTCGGCGATAAAACTATCGAGACGACGAACTCGTCATATTTTAATTATTACGTGAAAAATTCGCCGAATGTATTTGGAAGGTCAGCTGCGCATTCGTTGCATCATACTGCCTTTGGGTCAGCTCCGTTTATAAGCGAAAGGTCTTTACCATCTCTTCGGGAATCGGGTTGTCTTCGCCTCGGGCGTTCGTCCCCACGATCAAGGTCCCGTGAATTTATGAGGTTCACGCGCGTGCTCCAAACTGATCGTGTCTTTATATTTCTTAATTCTATTACTCTCTTATATTTACAGTCGCAAACTTACTATCACAATTAGTGGCAGGTCAGTTTTCTAGCATGTAGCATTGTATGTTTTTCAACAGACTTAAAAAACGGAGGAGATTCTCAATTCGACTGTATTTTTTTATGTTTGTTACCTCGGAACTTTCGACTGAGTGAAGTTTGATGATGCTTTTTTTATTTGAAAGCTGGTGCTTCCCATGTGGTCCCACATAATTTCATTGGTATTGGATCTTGGGCTCCAGGGATACATAGCAGATGTTTAAAGACGGTTTTGTTTTTCGTAAATAAAAAAAATATTATTTGGTTCTCGACCATTCAAACTCTCGGCCGATATAAGATATGAGATCAGATCCATCACACAGTACAGCACAGAGCGCACTGAATCGATACGGCCTGCCTTACAATCGGACATGTTTTAATTTTTTGTTTGTACACATAATATAAAACTGCATGAAAATCAGAAATAGTAAATAAGATAAATAAAATTGGAGTGTCTGTTTGTAATATTAAAATAACCACTTTTTACTAAATGCATATGGATGTATACACGGTACATATACCAAAATAACATTTTTTGCAATTTTTGTCTGTCTGTCTGTCTGTTTGTTCCGGCTAATCTCTGAAACGGCTGGACCGATTTGGACGGGACTTTCACTGACAGACAGCTGATGTAAAAAGGAGTAACTTAGGCTACTTTTACTTTAGAATCTTTTTTTATTTTAAAATCCACGCGGATGACGTCGCGGGCACAGCTATTCAGAAATAATAAATAAGGCTTATTAGTATTACTAGTGATCGCTAAGTGGTCGAAATTGTGTAATGTTATTTTTTTATTTACGCAACGTACTTTTATGTATAATTAAAAAAATATATTAGCATTCTGAACTCTTTCTCTATATAAACTATAAGTGTGGGAAATTTTTTCATACTACTCCACCCCCGCAATTAACGTAAAAAGGTGTACAAAGTTTTCACGTATTAACTTGAATTAAGTTTGTTAAATTGAAGCCAGTTGAATAACATAATACCGTTTAATTACACATTGATAAAATAAATATTGTGTCAGTACCTATTTCACACAAATTTCCAGTTTGCCGTGATGGAAACGACAATTTTATGAGTCATCGTTATACACTTTGATATGATTCACATATTCGGAATGGAACGCCGAACATTTGTCGCAGGGTCGATTCTCGATAAGTTCGGGGGTTTCCATTTAACGAACGAGCGTTTCTGTATGTAAGGATTGGGGTAACCATTGTCAGACGCGCGAATCGAAACCGATCGTAGTTTAAATAAACGAATGTATAATCTCGAAATTATATTAGTATTCTAAAGTAAAAACTTTATTACTTGATTCACGGCAAATGTTATTCGTGATATTTTTCGTGTGAAAAATTGTCAAACGAGCGGGAGGTTCACCTGATGTTAAGTGAAGACCACCCGTCGGCATCAACAACACTTGAGGGCTTGCAGATGCGTTGGCAAGATTTATAAAAAAATATTTATTAAGGACACAAAACCGACATCAATCTCGCTCTGTTTGCATTTTATAATTGATTTTCATGAGTTCCCTACGTATCTCCGGAGCCCAAGATTCAATACCAATGAAATAAAGAATCATCGAAATCGATTCATTAAGTCGAAAGTTCTGAGGTAACAAACATTAAAAAAAATACAGTCCAATTGAGAATGTTGTTCTTGTTGTCTCAGCCCTTTGATTTTTTAACTGAAAATTAGTATGATGTATTTGTTTTTGTTCAACTCCAATTAACGTTCGTGCACACAAATTTGACGCATTAACTTAAATTTAATTAATTAGATAGCACTTGCAATCTCTATTCAAGGACCAGCGCACCTTATACAAGCCAACCCACACCTCTTTTTTGCCTGGTTTGCCACCATCACCTAATTTTTTTTTTTAGAAGGTGACAAGCGATGTTAAGTGATGATCACCGTCGATTGACATTAGCAACAACCTTAGTTACCTCACCAGACGAAACGGAGAAGCATCACTTCCACTACACGCCGGTCTTCTGTCAGGTCGTGTTACTTCCGGGACGGACCCGCCTAAGAAGTTTCACTACAAAAGTATTTTGTGCGGCACAATAATAGCTTGTCAATATTCTGTGCGTTGTGCAGTCGGCAGTTTAAATAAACAACACGGGTAACTGCGTTCGTTCGGTCGCGTTTGTTGCGAAATACCCTGATTTGTCACAGCCCGTATTCGTGTCTGCTTTCTCTACCCGAGCGCTACTTCTATGGTGCGCCCATTAGTTTTTTAGCTATCGTTCGAAGAGATATATGTACTCTGCCTTCGAATACAGTCAGTCGACAGCTTATTTTTGGACGGTCAATATGTCGGTTAGAAATTAATCTAAAATTCAGATTGCGTGGCTAAAAATGTTATTTTATTCAATTTCATCTCACAGAAGACCGGTGTGAAGTGCAATTGTTATGCGTTTCGACTTTTTTTTTCTTTTCCCTGGCAAAGATTCTTTATGCAACTGGGTCGGGGGAGTGGCACGGGTATGTGGGATTCCCGGAAACGGGTACTCACTAAAAAACCCACCTAGCACCTGTCTCTGTCGCATCGGTCGGGGATACGGGAACACGTGGACGCTATATTCTTCTGAATGGTGCTGTGCCTAGGTAGCCGACTGCACCGGCACAGCCCACTTAATTAAAAGGTGGCAACGCATTGACAGTCCCACGGTTGTTGCGAATGTCCATGGGCAACGGTTATCACTTAACATTGGGTGAACTGCCAGCCCGTTTGCCACCTTCTCACATCAAAAAACAATATTTCAATCAGTCGTGTAATGGCAAATGCTGTAGTGTTTGATAGATCGCCAGTTTACGTTAAAATGCATTGCGATAAAGTTCGCTAACAACTTTTTTTTTAATTTGTTTTCTAACCTTAAAGCCCTTCTCCTGCACACTATCCTTTTGCATTAACAAATATAATGGCGGACTATCAAACAGTTATTTCATTAATTTTATTTATTTCAAAACTGAATCGTACATTTACAAAAAAATTAAAAATTTGGAAAACCTCAATAGTTTATCTATTGTCTTTTGTCGCAATAACTGTCTTTTG